CAGTCATCTACCTCACAGTACTGTAATATTTGCTCAGTCTCCAGCCCTGTCTAAATTCTTCACCCTTGGACCGGCTCTTTGACTCCATGTTTCTTAGAGACAACTTCCACCAATCAGCCCTGCTTGTTACATATTTTGGACAAATGAAATTTCTAGGTCATTGTCTGTCCCCTAGAGTAAGTCATGTGTTTTCTTTGTACTCCTTTACAGACTCTTCACAAAGGGCCTATGGCCGCCTTTTTGATGCAAACTAAAGATAACCCCATGAAAGCCTTAGGAGTGCTAGCTGGTGTCATGGGCATAATGGTGCTGATAACTATCATGATCTCTACTGCCATGTTCTGGCGCAACAAGCGGTCCAGCAAAATCATGCCGGTAAGAAGGATCATTAAAAAGAGACAGATCCCACCATCCCGGACAGTCAGGATGGATTGGCTGAAGTTCAAGAGGCCCAGCAATGCTGCGGAGAAGTTTGTCGTTGAGGATGATGTCAAGAGCCTATCTGAGAACAATGAGAACAGCAACAACAACATCCAAGTTGCCCCTGTGCCGCCATCAGCCCCCTTGCCCCCGCCACCCCCTGCCCTGGCTCCCAGGAGCGATGCCCCAGGGTGGCGGGTGCCAACCGTGTCTGGCTCCCTCACCCCCAAGCATATAATCAAACCACCGAAGAAGAGAGGTCATGGCAGCACCCACAACGCCCTCGTGTCAGAGCTCAAGATGAGGTTCGAGAAGAGGAACGCAGCTACTGGGGAGCCCCACATCTAGGTGCTCTCAGCAGCCCCCAGAGACTGCAGACTGTGGCTGTGCATGGATGTATTTACGTGCTGTGCTCTTCCCCCTGTCTGTCAGCACCCTGTGAACCGAGAGCAGCTCCTCACTGTGATAGCCACCCCTCACCTTCCACAAGGACCACATGCTACAGTCACCCCACCCAGAGAAGTGCTGCAGTCTGTGTCCAGTTGCATCTGCAGTTCCTTCAGCACGTGTCCCACTGCTGCTCCCTCCCTGCAGCTGTCTGACCACGGTACTGAGTACACCAGCCACAATCTCCCCAGGTGAACAGGGATTCAGGTTGCCCCCGGTTTGGAGGTCTTTACCCAGAGCCTGGGTTTTCAAACAAGATGCTCTGCAGTCAAGGCCACCCTGGAAGATGCTGCTTCAAAGCTGGTCTGAGCTGGGTTTGAGGTGTCCAAAATCCCACCACTTCAAATCCCAGACCCACTTTTGAAGACATTGGCCTGGCTGTGGCTTGAGCACCAAGTCAGTGTGCAGGTCTCCTACAGCAGTGACTCTGCCCTGTCTCAGGCTGTAGCATGTTTTGCAACAACTTTGGCAGAGTGATGTGCTCAAGGCATGAGTACCTTCATTCCCAAAAGGTAAGCGGGCAGGTTTGGAGAAGTTCTTCATTTTCCTGCAGCTTATGCTGGGTTTTACCAGATTGCATTGACATGATGCTGCGCTTTGCTTCTGCCCCGGACTTGCCTGCTGAGGACGAGACAGGAGGGGCTTTTGAGCCTTCCCTAGGCCAGCTGGGGCAAGATTGGAGCACAGAAGCTCAGAAGCAGCACTCTTGGTACTGCCTCCTTCTGACACCCCAAAAAAGGAGGAGCCCAGCAGGAGAAGGACATGAATAAATCTGCAGGGAAGACAAGGTAAAACTGAGAGTCAAATGATAAGTGAAAAACACAGATAAGTGCTGGAAAGTCCCATATGTTGGTCAGGGAAGTGTCTGGAAAGATCATGCGGTGTTGTAAACTGCTACCAGAAGGTGTCAAGGAATATATTTCATCACCTCTCCTGGCTTGTTCCAGGGACTGGTGAGTGCAAAATGAGGTTTCCATAAAATATTCTGGTTTGCCCTATCAGTATTTTTGAGTGAATTATGCAATAGTTAATGGGAGGGGGGCAAGGAGGGTGGGAAAGTAGCTGACACTTTTTTTTTCTGTTAAGTGACAGTAAAAAGCCCCTGAGGACAGAGCACTTTTTTCACTGGATCTACCCCATGGTTTCTCCCTCATTTTTGTTTCTGAGGAGATGCTTTCCAGCTGGGCATCAGGCTGTTTCCCATCCCCTAGGAAGAAGGCAGCACGGACTGGGCTGGTGGGGCACCCTGCACCCTCTGCCTGAGCTCTGGCCCTGCAGAGAAGCTGTGCTGTCATGGATTGACACTGGGAACATCAAGGTGGGGACGAAGCCCAACAGGATAGGACACTTAATTCAGAGGGTTTCTGAGAGTTGTCCAGCTGTCATTTCAGTTAAACAAGTCGACCTGGCCCTCCAGATGATCTCTTACTCCACTAGCTGGAAAAATACCCTTTTTTGCACTAGGACTTCATTAGTTTAGGGGATAGATTGTTGAATAAGAAGTTACCCACTTACAGGGAAATCCTATATTTTTTAACTTCAATTCAATCCACCTAGAAGCCAGAGGGTGACCATGGCTCGTTACCCATGGGCTGAGCCAGCAGCTGTAGCCAAGAGGTACAGCAATGTCCCAGCTGGGAGCCATGACAGCAGCACTGCACCCAGAACCTCTCCTGTCATGTCTCGCCTTTTCTCCACAGTTTTCTTGCTTATCCCCCATCCCTGGGGCAGTGTGGCCTGAGGCCCAGGTTCTGATGTTGTGTGCAGTCATCTTGTCCTCATCCCCTGACCACGAGCTGGTCAGAGGAACCCCTCTCTTGCTGCCCTGTGCAAGAACACGCCTTCTGCTGGTTGTGTCTCCGCCAGGGTCTGCAATGTTTCCTGAGGTACCAAAAGTTTGTTGTTTATTCCCCATACTATTGTCTTCCTAATGTTGTTTTAAAGCCAGTATTCAGTGTGCATTCTCTAATGAGGAAAGCCTATAAAGACCATTCAATTAAGTGAGATTTAATAGGAATTACAGGCTTATAGTCTTAGAGATTATATTTAAGAGGCAATAAAGATGTTTTATTACTATGTTGTAAGGTTCTTTCCAAGTTACTCTGTATTTCCACTTCAAGGGTTTTTGTTAATAAATTAAAAAAAAAAAAAAACAAACACCAAACTGGAAAAGGTGCTTCTGTGTGTGGTGTGTTTCTGCTTGCAACGATGCCTTGTCATTGCCTGTTATATGATCAAAAGGGCACAGGCAGCCAGGCGGCTTTCTAGGATGGCCAAATGGACCCTTTCGGGGGCTGTGAGTCAAGAGAGGGGCTGTGTGGTTTTTGGACAATACCAGGCTGGAAAGAGGAGGTGAGAAGCAGGATGCTGTGAGGCACAGGGGATGGGCAGGATCCTGTGGTGCTCTGCAGTCCACTGCAGCATGGCCCTGGGGGCAGGAAGGCTCCTCACAAGGCAGCATATTCAGCCTAATGCCAGTGGGTATGTGATTTGTTATGAACTTTCTATACCTGGTGATGGGATGTTTTCTCTTTCTCTGGCTATTCTCTTGCTGTGGTTCAGCAGCTTTCTCCAGTCTCTAGCATGTGCTATTGTTTCTCTGTGTCAGCTGCGATCTGGAAGGCCAGTCATTACAGACAGTGATTTGTTTTTTCACTCCCCTTCATCCACAGCCCCACGCTGGTCCACAACCAGCATCAGCTCATGCCTCACTCCGTATGCACTGTCTACATGGATAACTTTTCCAGGTCAAGGTTTCCCTGTTTGATTGGCTGTTTCTGCCCCTTCTTCACCACTCTAGACCCTCTGTGACATGTGCTGCAACTACCTGACCTCCTCCATCCCTGCAGCCAAACCCTGGAGCTCCCTGGCATTCGGGTTTCTTTGCAACTTGTAACTGTAAAAGGCTAGAGATGAAGCAGAGGACATCTGTGTATTCTGAAAATCTGTCGTGTTTATTGCTTTGACGCTAAAAGACTGACAAGACTAGGAAGTCCTGTGAAGTATTCACACCAAGAGTCAGCAGTGACAAAACAGTTCTCTGTTCAAAAGCTGCACAGCACGTTACAGCAGAAAGAGGCGCTGGGGGAGGAAATGTGGGGCCTGAGGAGACACAACATGGGAAACACACACCAAAAAACAAAATACAACTAGAAAACCAAACTACCACAACATGAAGGTCACATTAGGTTCTATCTCTGCTTACAGCTGGGGTGTCTACTGTAGATTTATATTTTTAGACAATCTATAAGAACACATATGACAACGGCCACATGCTTTGGTTGTGCTGGAAAGAGTGAGGTCAAACAAAGAAAATTAAGTCACATGTCCTCAGACCCCTGAGAATCACAGCAGTGAGCTGCTCTGCAAGCAGGAAGCAGTTTCTTTTAGGTGCTTATTAGGGCTTTTTGCCTCTAGCAAGGAGGTGAGCTTTGGTTTCAAAGCAGTGGGATGGGCAGGCACCCATCTGCATTTAGGGAAGGTGCCTGGGTTGCACCTTCAGCTCCCAAACCCCTGCTCCACCATGTTCTCTGCCTCTGTCCACTTGTCTCACCAGCCTGTTCATGATGAGCATCCCCATCAACCCCTACAGCCATGGGACCATCCTGGGAAAAGGAGTGCAAGTGGTAGGGAGTGCGGAAGGAGAAACAGTAGTTCAGTGTTTGCCTCTGAAAGACAAATTGTTCATTTTTCACCGGCTCTTGTTCCTAACTTTAAAGAATATATTAACAACACTTGTGTAGCAATAGGCACAAGTGTGTGTTAGTGTTAGAGTGTGTGTGTCTGTGTATCTGTGTGGGCAAGTTAGAGGACTGTTTTAGTTTCAGACTGAGATATATTTGGACACAAGTCCGCCCCTTCTCTCTAGTACAAAAAAAAAAAAAAAAAAAAAAAATCCTGAAATCCTGTGCTGTGGCTGTATTACACTGGAGTGTTCGGTAAGCATTTGCAGTTTTCCTGTTTGCAGTGCAACCAAAGCTGTGAATCTCCTAGGGCTGCGTAAACCTTAAGGAGGAGTAAGAAAAAAACCCACAAAACAAAGCAAAACAAAAAAAACCACCCCCAAACTCAACACCTCTGGTCAGAATAAAAAAGTTTTTCTCCAAGTAAAAAAAAAAACTCTCTCCATCGTGTTCACCCAGTCCTCCCCACCACTTGTTGCTGGCTATGACCACAGCCCTGCTGAGCTCCCTGTCCATTCCCAGGAGGTGGCACACAGGAGAAGCTGGCACCTGGCGCTGGGCAGAGCTGTGAACAAGAAGAATAAATAATTAAAGACACGCCTGTGTGAGTGAGGGGAGACCTTTGACCTTTGTTCAGAAGCATTGATATTGGTTTGTGGGTTGTTTTTTTTGTCAATGCTGGTTTTCTTGGTGTGTCAGTGTGCGTTGCTCCATGGCAGTGCTGCAGGGGCAGCCCAGGGCTGCGGAGGCACAGCTCCACACCCGCGGCCGGACACACCGGGCATCTCCATTCCCAGGGCTCCCCAGGCCTGCTGCAAACAACAGTCATGCATCCCACCGTGCCCCGAGTCCTTGCAGCACAGAGCCGCCCCGGCGTGGTCCTTCGAGAAAACCAGCACGTGCTGTGGCTCGGTGGTCTGTGAAAGGTGCCACTGTGGCTGCACTCACAGGGCGAGCAGGGGCTGCCCTAGTAGAGGTCGGCGCTGTTCCTGTGGGGCGGCCGGTTCTTTCCAGGCTCCTCACGGGCGGGGGGCCGCCGGGTGCTGTGGATGTCCTCGGGGCGGCAGAGCCCATCCTCGCTGCCTGCGGGAATGCTGTCTAGCGTGCTCTCCTTGCTGCCGGCAGCCTGTGCCTGGCCCCCGCGGCGGCGGCGGGGGCAGGCTCTGGGGCAGCGGGCCAGGCAGCCGGGCAGGGCCTCAGCGGTGCAGGCGTACATGCCGGCCGGCACGGCCAGCACCATGGCGCACACGATGACCACGATGTGGATGAGCTTCTCACGCTGCTCCATCTGGCTGACGTCGCTGCCCGTGACAAAGACGACGCACTGGCCCTTGCGGGGAGCCTGGTTGCGCACAGCCACACAGACCTCGTATTTGGTGGCAGGCAGCAGGTCGGTCACCGAGTAGGTGTTGACCCCGGGGCCGATGTAGATGGTGTCCTTCTGGGCGGCATCATAGCGGCCCACCAGGAGGGTGTACCAGGTCTCCCCCGGCTCTGCTGCCGCCGCCGCCGCTGCAAACCACTCCAGGGTGATTCCATAGACCGTCTGCTTGGCTATGCGCACTTCCACGTGGGCGCCCGGCTCAGCGGGGGCCATGGGAGCCCAGCCCTGCGGGGTGGTGGATGCCCAAGGGGCCACCACACGGAGGTTGATGGCCACTGAGGTGTTACCCAAGAAGTTGGCGGCTGTACAGGTGTAGTTGCCGGCGTCTGCTGGCCGTGCCGCTGGGATCAGCAGCTCAGAGCGGACAGTCTCCTCGCTGATGGGCTCAGTGGTCACTGCAGAGGGGCAGAGGGAAGTTGTGTCAGCAGGTAGGGCCCCTTCCTACCCGTGCCAGCAGGGAACCACCATGCCCTAAGACCAGTGTGGGATGGGGCACTGGCAGGACCTGCCCCGCCCAGGGAAAAAGGAAGAGGGGAAACAGGAGTGTGCCAAACCGCACAGAGCACATTGGGAAAGTGTTGTCTGTCTGAAAGGCAATACACTGGGACACTCAGGAATGGGAGACAATGGAGTGCATCTGACCCCAGCCCTAGCACAAGTTGCTAGGGAGGCTGATGTGGACAGAGGCCCATGTGCCATCTGTCATCAGCATTCTTAGGTCAGGGCAAACCAGGGAGAGCCACTGAGGACACAGATACATTTTGGACATAAGTTCCATCCTCTCTTAGGACTGTGTGGAAAAATATCAGACTCAAAAGGCTCAGGCCAAAAAGAAGTGGATGGAACCTGGAAATGCTGGGCTGGAAGCGAGATGCAGTTTTAAGAACAATATGAAACCCTGTCAGCTACCCAAACAGGGGCATAGGTTGGGAAAACAATGTATGTAAAAAATTCAGCATGTGCTTGTGGAAAGGCACTCAAGTGCTGCTACAGCACTGCAATTGAAGCAAATATCAACCCAGGATTAAGGGCTAATGCTATTCCATTTAGCCTGCTGGCTTATTAGGAACACACAGAGCCAGTGCAGTGTCTGTATGCCTATTATCTTACCTGATGAAAATAGCAACTCACCCTATTGAAGACTCTTAGTAAAAATAAACACGAAGGAGGATGGATTAAGAGGAAGAGGAAAAGCTTTCATTTTATGAGGCTATCGATGAAGAATATAAAAAAGCAACACTTAGGGAGAACAACAACCTCTGTTTCAATTGGTAGAACATGAATGGACATCATAGGCAACAGAGCTGCATTATTTTGTGGTTTATGTGGTATTTCTTGAGGAACTATATGGAAATAATATAGGAACACACAAACCTGTGTATATGTGTGTGGGTTCATACACGTGCACAAAAATATAATTATATAGAGTACATGCATATATATATATGTAGTATATAATATATAGTGTAAATATACATGTATATTTAAATAACTACATATTTATTGAATATGTACAACTGATATAGTATTAATAGTTCCTACATCATATGTCATGAGGAAAGAGCTGCTACATAAAATCCATCCATACATAAGATAATTGTGTGAAAATGAGGACATGCTCCTTTCATCTTTGACTGATACCCTGCATGAAGCAGCTCTTCCTATGCTGGTCAGATGTGACCAGATACATAGGATGATTAAAACTATTTGGATTATTGCCACCACAATAACTGTGGTGCTCTAAAGGGGCTGAGAGTTGCTGTGGTGACTGTGATGGCCTGCAGACCTATGTAAGTAGAATAGCAGAGCATAAATTTTTTATGAAGAAAAAAAACAAAAAAAGAAGAAGAAGAAAAAGCTTTGCTTACCATTAAATGCCCTTAAAAGTTTGAGTGCATAGGTCCACCAGACAGCAGGGGATGGGCTGGCTTGCACAAAGCAGGTCAGGGTGATGTTTAGCCCCGCTGGGACTGTCAGATTGGTGTCAAGGGCTGAGGTCAGGGGCTTCATGCAGCTGTTAAGCTCCACTTCATGGAAAAACTTCCCTGTCCTGAATTTTGGGCTTGAGCACGTTAAATAGGAATTCATCAGAATAATAGGTGGGCCAACCGACTTGATAAACTGGACAAATCCCCGCAGGCGACAGTCGCAAATCCAGGGGTTGTCGTGGAGGGCCAGAACGGCATTGGAAATAGCTTCTATCTGCCCCTCTGTCCTCTGGCTTCTCTGGTAGACAGGCCAGTTGTAGAAGACATCCCTGGATATGATGGTAAGCTGATTTGAGGATAGATCTAAATAGGTCAGGTTGGGCAGATAGCGGAGCGCGTGTTCTGGAAGGACATCCAGCCGGTTGTGCTTCAGATCCAGGATTTTCAGAGTCGGGGTGTCTTGAAATGCTGTCCATGGCACTGAACTTAATTTGTTCCCTTGCAAGCGCAGCTCCTGCAGAGCTGGCAGATATTCCAGGCTCTTGATGTGCATCACCGTGATGTTGTTAAAATTGAGCCAGAGATACTCCAAGGCACTAACATTCTCAAAAGACCCACGAGGCAATTCTGTTAGGTGAGAATTTTCGATTCTAATTTTCCGGATGTCCTGAGGGATGTTTGCAGGGATCTGCCTCAGCAGTGCAGACATGCAGAGCAAACTCCTAAGGAGGAAAACAGAAAATTCTGCAGGTCACATACCACGTTTGTGGCTAACAAACCAGTTCATTATAGAGGACAACAAACACCTGAATAATTACATGGTATTGCATATAGGGCATGCCTAAGCCATGCATCATTCTTCCATGGGTTTTATACCAATTTTCCCATAAAAAATGAGATTAAATGTCTATGAATGCAATTATAAAAATGTCTGTGTATGCAACTGCATATATCTCAGGCAAATAAGAGAAACCTCACTCTGTGCCCAAGCTAATACAAGTGTTGAAGGAGGCACTCCATGCACCGATCTGGTTTTGATGCTCACATCATTGGCAAATATATATGAGCTGCTTTGCTGGTGCTACAACAGGGGTAACTAGCGTTCTTACCTTCCAAAGCTGTCTTGAGAACAAGAGCATCCTGTGATACAAGACGAAACAGATGGATTTATCTTGTGGAAAGCCAGAAGAAGAAGAAAAATATGACAAACAGGGTCCATATTCTCCTTTAAGAAAGCACTGTGCAGGGGTTTGCACCAAACATGCCAACAGCCTCCAAGAAGCAAATCCTATTAGCTGTAATCTTCCTTGACGCAGAAATAAATCCTGCTGGGGACCCAACCCTAAAGAAGACATGTAGTATGGTTCATAGTCTGTGTTGAAGTGCTAAAAATCACCCCCGGGACCCCTCTTGGCATTTATCCTCTAGCTGAGGGGATTCTGACAAACATATTTATTTGGTTGGTAATACAAAGATGGAGCCAAAACCACTTCTATTGCCATTAATAAGGCCTAATTACCTTTTTTTTTTTTCTTTTTATTTCAAGGAGTCTATCATCTCTATCTGCTGTATTTTAATGGCATTTATCAAGGCAGAACACTACAGTAAGGGTCAGAATTTACAGCTGTAATTTGTCAGTGTGCAGTGCTGTGTTGCCCAATCCATCCAACCCCAAACCCTGCCCACAGCGCTGTGCAGGGGAGCATGAAACCTACTCCCCAAACATAGATGTTATGCCATGGAAAGGTAAGTATGGAACCTTTTTCCACTGAAACAGCTGCACCCCTCCCTTCCCCACTAGCTCAATCCTTACATGTTGGTAATGAAAATAATAACACAGTTCTGGTCAGTCTGTGGGTTTCTCTGAGAAAAGAGTATCTGGTAGTCAATCTCTTCTATAAATACAAAATTTCAGTGCTATTCTCTGGCTTCTCCTGTAAGATGTTCTGATTGCTTTTCAGGCACCTTGAAAAACTCAGTCTAAGTTCTGTGAGAAGGGATTTGGATTAACCAATTTCTTTGATTTCTTTTTTTTTTTTTTTTTTTTTTTTTTTTTTTTTTTTTTTTTTTTTTTTTTTTTTTTTTTTTTTTTTTTTTTTTTTTTTTTTTTTTTTTAAGACAAAATAGCAGGTTTTGTTTATTATTTCCAAGGAGTTCTGCATTCTCCTGGGGCCACCTAGTGTGGATGGGCTTCACTACAGCCTACAGAGGAGCGTGCCTTGGAAAGGGGCTCACCTCACTGCACATTTGTGTGATGCTGGGTCACGAAGCAAGATTAGCCTGAACCTACTTAACCTCTGACCTGTGGGACAAGGATAGAAAAATATTTATAGCGTGATGGCTTAGGGCTATACCTGGCTCTCAGGGTGTGTGCAGTAGCACAGTTGCTGTAAACCTACAGAAGACATAGGCTTGATTCTGCAGCATTTGAATCGAGAGTTTTTATTTCATGGCAAATCAGCACAATGAACTGGTGGGGAAACTGCTGGGGACTGATGCAGCACTTTGTGACTGCCCCCTGTGTATAAGCAGCAGGTCATGAGTGGCCCTGTGGAGCTGTTACTGTGCCTGGCATCTGACCATGAGCATACAGGATTTTTATGGATTTTTTTAAGTGAAATGTTCCTATTTGTCCATGGTGCAATACTTGTTTTTTTCAGCAGTTTAAACATGTCAGTGAGCAAGGACTGAAGGATAAGGCTGCTGGTTTGTAGCATAGCAGATGCAGCAGCTATATAAATTCCCCACCTGTCATGAAAATATTACCTAATAAAACAAAGATATAACTATTTTATAATAATTTTATATTTTTACACTTTAGTATAACTGGCAATAACAGTAGTAAACTACTTCTGATGTAGTTAGTTAGAAAATAGCTGGGTGTCAGTAGCAAACCCTGGAGTTTGCCCATGTGGGAGCTGCAGGTTCTTCAGCAGAAGCAAAAGGCAGAAGCGAAAGAAAACAAGTCTCTTGATGGTGTTCAGCTTTAGAGGTGATGGCAGGCCTTCCTGTGATGGGATAAATGGCTGAAGTCCACCCAGATCATTGACTTGTTCAGTCATCCCTGCCAAGTGTTCATGAGGAACAGACAGATCCACCAGTGCTTGGGATTCAAGGGAAATGCAATAGAAAACTACCCTCTTTTAGTGAGCTGCATACATTCCCCCAGCGAGGTCCCTGGGTTGGGATGGTTTGGCTGTCCCAGCTGCACCAGCAGGGCAGCAGGAGGGATTCACTTTTGGTCTTTTGAGGCCCAACTTTGAAAAGACTCCTTCCTTGACACCTTCACACCCCTCCTCCACGGCACAGAGGGAGAGTATTACAGTGTGTAGCAGTTAAGTCTTCAAAAAATCTTTCAGGAAAAATGAAGTGCTATTTATTAACAGGTTTATATACAGAGTAAAAACCACTGGTGATTTTCTCTCCATGTACATCCTTGGGCATAGAACAGGTGTAGAATGCCCAGTGTCCTGGGATGCACGTAAAATGATATCCAAGGTTCTCTGTTAGACATATGTTAATTTAAATAAATGTGTTGTTTAAGAGACCAAAAAAAAAAAATAATTGCAGTTATTTTCCTTTTCCAGCGTGAGAATTCCTCCCAGTCGTACCTCTCCTCTACAAGGCTGGAAAATGGCTTTTCAAAGAGTGTTGTTAGTACCATGGGCCAGTGCTCAGGCTGTTTTCAGGTTGATATTTATTTGCTGCTTGAGAGGCCATTTATCTAAATATTTCCAACTCCAAGTGCACTCAGAAGGTTCATTATTAAGCTGAGAGACTAGTAGTGAATTACTTATCAAAATCAGACTAATTAATGGGTAGCAAATCTACCCACTATCTAAGGCAGAGAGAGGCAGGGAAGGAAAAGAAAGGGGTAGGGGGAAGTAAAGGAAAATCCCCTGGTGTTAACCACAGCCCTTACATTTATGTTCCCTACTGGAGTGGGATTTTGCCTTTTTAATTCAGCTCAGTTTATGCCTGCTTGTAAATTTAATGGTCACTATTGTGACAGCAGATGTCCACTCAGTTCAGCTGCTATTTAACATCATGTGGCATCCTGGCCAAAGCCAAAATGCAGAACAAGCTGTCTAAAACCCGAGCTGTCAGAATAAATCTCCATAGAGACATTGTCTGCTAAACCATGGGAAGTGGAGTTTAAGAGGCTGCACTGATTGCCAAAGCAAACACCAAAAGGACACCCGTCGTGTGCCCCCAGCTATGGCCAGGGAGTCAAACTCCATCTTGACAGGCACACACGGGCCTGTAAGAAATCATGTCTGGGCTGAAGCTTTACAATTAGTCCCTCTGCCAGGGCTTTCAGTGTTAGAAATCCCCACAGGATAGGACACAAGAGCTGAAGGTTGCAGTTGGGTGTTTCAGATACGGTACTGTACAGTGGCAGCCCTGGCTTTTGGGAAGTATGGGCACTGCTTCAAGGCCCACGGCTGCTCTGAGAAGCTCCTTCTCCTGCTCACTGAGGAGTACACCCTTATTTCTCATCCATTTGAACCATTGCGGGCAATTGCTAAATTCTTTATTTATAATCTTGAGTAATAGGAAAATAAAATGGGAAAGAATCCTTTTGCTCTGTTTTGGGAAATAGTTGTTGCCTTCTGTTCATGGACTTTTAAGCTGGTGAAGCTCACACTAAGCCACAGTACTGCAGCAATGACTACTAATTAATTACATCCTGAAACTGTACAGGATTTCCCAGTCAATTCTGACACTGAGGGACTTGGACATCAGCTTCTTTAGGACCTTTTTAGTCTTTAGATTTTATTTTACGATTGGAATACTTTCAAAGTCATTCCTCAATGTCCACTCAGTTTTTAAAATATCTTGAAAAATATATTACTGCCCTTCTTGATGCTTTTGTTAATTTCTTTTCTCAAATTTATGTCTATATATTTATGCACACTTTTGTGTCCTATGTTTTTTTATCACCTAAATACTTTTTAGTCTATTCTTTCCAGGCACTTGGAAATAAATGTGAAATTTGCCACACTTAATGCGATTATAGCCTTCCAACATGCTTAAATCACATTGTGGCCAGTCTGAACATTACTTTGCGCTTGTGGAATTTTTATGCATATGGGGCATTAAAAATATTTGCAGAGACTCTATAATTCAGATCCAATATTAGCCTTTGTCTGGATCTACTCACCATATAATTTGGACACTTTTTAAGATGTTTGGGAAAACATATTTCAAAGCCTCAACACGTTTTTGCATTTCTTCTTGTACTTCAACTACTTGCAGGACTCAATGTTAACCATTTTAAGCACATTATTTAATTTATGTTCTGCTTGGTTGCCTCATTTTGATAGCTGTTTTCTTGCCGATCCTTTTAAGAGAATGAAATAATAAAAATTTTTAGGTACAGTTCAGAGCTATTTGGATTAATTTTTAAAACATTATTTTAAATTTTATCCTTATTTTTTCAATTTTACACTACTCTGATTGCCAAAATAAGTGCTAAAAGATACTATGGAGGGAGGAGCTTGTCTTTATTATACATCACATGCAGTGCCCATCGAGGAGTGGCTCATACTGCTCTCCAAAGTCCTCAGCCCAGGCTGCTGGTGCAAACCTCCTTAGTTTATTCAGAAGTATTCCTGACATGGACCAACACTTGCGGAGGCACAGAAAAGAAATGATTTTTACCGATGGAAAGAAGCCTACAAGAAATATTAAAAGGACTCTTTATTTATTGCCACGGACATGGAACTTATTTATCCGGATATTTATGGACAATTTTAATAGTATTTAACGTATTTAATATTTATTATAAGAGTTATATTTATATTTATATTATAAGGTTTTATTCCCCTCACGAATTACGAGTTTCTGATTGGTTAAAAATCGGTTAGCTACGATTGGTCAGCTAGTGCCGCAGTTTAGGCGGGCATAGCTGAGGCAACTTGTTATCTTATTGGTTATTGTTATGGCGCGCTATGGTTGTACGGGTTTTATTGGTTGTACCCCCTGTCATTCATGTAACTCCTCCCTTTGTTCTAGTCCCTTCTTCCCCAAACCTACATAAGTCCCTGTTCTCCCCTCGGGCGGGAGCGACATTTTGTCCCCAGAGGGTGTCGCAGCGTCCCAGGAGCCCCCATCATTTTTCCCTGGGAATAATAAATTACCAATAATTCATCGAACCCTCGTGTCGCTCATCTCCTTCTCCGCTCTCGGGCTGCGACAAACACTCATCTGAGAGGAAACTTTAAAATAGTAATAGTAGAGAATATCATACTCAAAGAGATTCCAAAATACCTCACTTAATGCCAAAATATTTGAAATAGATCCCAAAGAGAAACAAATTGGTTAAAACCTGACACAAAGAGATTATTAGTGGAGTAAATATTTTCCAAGGGAAAAACTGAACAGGACAAAGTGTCAACAAACAATAATAATAAAAAAGCTACTAATGCAGTAATTCCAAAAGATATTCAGATGTTCCTTTTGGTTCTTACAGCACATCTTGAGAATTGATTTTAACCAAGAAAGAAATTGTTTGCAGAGATGAATATTCTCCTTACCCTGATGAAACTAGGTAGCTAACAGCTCTTCTATTACAATGGCAACAGAAAATCCAGTGAGATATTTATCTTTACGTGTCTGATACTACTAAAAATCTGACTCAGAGCCTTGAAGTCACATTCAGCAGAAAATCTACTTAATGCTTTGAAATTACATTCAGAGTTTAGCAAGTATAGGGTTTCTCCTCTGACCCATGCAAGATGACACAGAAACTGTACAAGTCTCTACCTATTGCCTGTTTTGTACGAGTCATCAGTGCAGTAGAAAGGCTTGTTTTGAAGCAGCAGCAGTTGGGATGATAAACTGTAATGCCTCATCTACGAGACAGTGAGAATAACCACAGGAAAGAGAAAAGAAAAATCATGTTTATTCTATTTGGGATCACTATTTATTCATAGTGCAAAAAATATCCAATATTCTGTAAAATTTAACACATCCACAGTGAATGTCACAGGATGATCCCTCCATCCTCTCCTCCTCTCAAGCAAAGAGCAACAGTGCTGGCCCAGCTGGTGCCTCTTCCATTGCCAGTTCACAGACTGTGTGTCATAGCAGGTGACAGCTGCTCCTCACCAAGGCTGGAGGCTGCAAATTACCCACCTCATATCTCCAGTCAGCTGAAAAGTAAATACCTATGGTACCCAGTCAGCTCCTGTAAACCTGACATACAGGTAAGTCCTTGGGCAGAAGGTCCACTCGGTTAACCACAGGAGAACTTTTGGACAGCCTTGATTCTTCAGGATTTTAGCCATCCAGGGCCATGGCAGGCTGATTTCTGCACAGCCCAGTGGCTGCAGATGTGGGCAGGAATCAGGGTGACACACAGCACTCCTTGTAACTCATCACAAAAACTGCCACTGGAGGAATATTTTTCTTCTACGTTGGAGAAGAGGCTAAAAATGTTCAGAAATGCAACTGTATAAATAAGTAATAAATCTATTACACACCACATATTCCATCAGTTAATTTGTTGTATTAAAATACATCATTTTACAAAACATTATTTGCAAACCTAAAAATCTACACAGCCCAGTGATAGAATTAGCACACATTATTTTATACAGGGTGTATACAATAATAATTTATACAAATTCTCCCAGTACAAGAGAAGTTCTTTATCATTAATGTAAGGAATACAGGGAGTCTTATCAGAAACTACTGCAATGTACCCCTGTTCAAAGTATTTATGTTGAGATCAAATGACTTGCTTTTTCCATCAGGCCAAGAAATCTGCCATAACTGTAGAAGGACTTGCAAAATCCATACATGGCTCCGTTCCAACCCATGAACTTAACCCTGTACATACATGTCCAGAATTTCAAAAAAAATTCAGCAATTACCACTTCAACTTGGTTAGATCTCTCCCATTCAACGTTTGGCAGAACATATATAATTTTCTTCATGAATAATATTTATTACAGAGAGAAAAAATATTATATACAGTATTACTACATGAAAGAATTGAATGGAAAATTATACATCAGCGAAGTACTTTGTGATAAGCACTTAGATCCAAATTCCAGCGAAGTTGCAGGACTTCAATGACTGATTGACTTACCCTGACTATGAAAGTACATTTAGATTAATATTAGACAGGTTTTTTTTCAGGGTTCTTGAACTTGTAAAATGTTTTTAACCCACAAGTCTGCCCTGAACCTCTGCCACCATTGAGTGCATAGTCAGTTAGGGCTGACGTGTGCGTGGCCAGTGATCTGTCACAGCATCACATTCTCCTGCTCTGCACAGAGCAAGTTATTTGCACAACCAAGTCACAAGTGCCTGGTTGACCATGTGGGTCTTCACTATCAGTTTTGCCAGGAGCACAGGCAGCAATGACAGGGCTGGTTTGGGAGACTTTTGCAAAACTGTCCAGTGCAGGTTTTCCAGTATGATTACAAAGCATTACAACACCACACACAGTGTGCTAAGTAGGTTATTACATTATTTTTTTAATCTAGCACAGCTGATATAAAATATATTCTACTAATTACAATACAGCTACAAAATGCCAGCTAGGACCAATACTGAAGGACCTGTGCTGTACTGTTGTTTAGTGTTTAGGGCGACAATGCAATCAGAAAATGCTATTATGATTCTTAAGAGTAGATTGGGCTTTGTCTCTTTATTTATATCTCTTTGCACATTTCTATGAATTCAGAGCAGAGTTGTTATTATGTTGGACACAATAGAAAAGGTTGTATTTAGTGATCTACTAAGCATCAAACTGCATTTTTCATGCAAACACAGGAAATGTCAAAAGTGAGACTCTCAGTCTTCACCTTCATAGATATTTATAGTAGAATTACTAAACAGTCCCCTGTTTGTCAACCAGAGGAATATAAAAAGAGCTGGGAATAAAATACCTAGTATATTGCAGAGCAGGTACTAAACAACACCAAGCAGAACACACTCAGAAATGTTGCTTAATGTCCTCACACTTAGTGTGCATGCTTCATTTTACAGGGGGAAAAAAAAAAAGTTGTCCAGAAGAACGAGGCCATTATCACAGAAGTTTTTGACTGGGTACAAAACAGCAAACCCCAAGTGGTGTGAGCAACATGTTTCTGCAAAGCTTGGGCACCATCTACCCTCTTGAATCCTCTTCCAGAACATGTTGGAGACAGAAGCATTGACAGGCTGGCCTGCATTGCTGGAGCACAGTGGTATATACAGCCACATGCTTTCCACCTGGCAAGCTGGCAATCATCCTAGCTACTATCAGCAAAAGTATTCATTAGGTTGTCCCTCTATCTTTGGTATCGCTTCAGAGTCCACACTGGACCGGGCAGACAGCAGCCTGTTGGACTCATCAGGAGTATGTCTAGTCAAGTATTCCCCTTCCACACCTTTCGCCTTGGCCCCGGGAGACAGGCTTTCAAAGGTGACATAGGATTCCTGAATTTCCTTGGGTTTTCGCACGAAGCATTTTTTGCAGCGCCTCTTCAGTGCTCCACAGCAGACCACCAGCGTCAGGGGAACAGCAATGACACAGGCCACGCTGATGACAACCACGTTGATGAGCTTCTGGGTCCCTCCTGCGCTGGCAACTTCATCCGTGGAAAATATGATGCACTGCTCCTTCCTGGGGATCAGTCCTTTCACACAGACACACACGATGTATTTGGTCTTGGGAAGCAGCCCATAAATGGTGACCTTGGTCTTCCCCGGCTCCACGTTGATCCGCCGCATGTCTCTCTCCCCAAAGATGGCATAGAGGACACTGAATACCGTCGTGTTCTTTGCCAGAGGTGCCTTCCAGGCCAGGGTGATGCTCTGGTCACTGTCTCCTATCACCCTGACACTCCTCACCATTCGCTCTGGCTCCTGCTGACCGGTGGGTGGGCTCACCAGCAGGTTTCTGGGGTTGCTGTCTTGTTCCACATCCGAGAGGAGGCCCTCTCCAGTGCCCACTCCAGCCCCTAGGGTAGGCACAGTGGAGGTGGTGATAACGTACCTTGCTACTAGTTTGTCATTGTAGGCAGCTGCTTCCATCCCACTCGCTTTCCCATTCCATGTGCCTTTGCCATTAGAAGAGTTTGGGTCATCCGTGCTTTCAGAGTCTGTGATGATGAGAGATATGAATGCCTCTGTTGCTCCCAGAAAATTCTTTGCTTTACAGATGTACTCTCCAGAGTCAAGGTAAGAGACTACAGGCAAGCCCAGAATAGACCAGCTCATCCCATCACTGGAAATCTCTTGGTGAACTGCAAGGTAGGAAAAATGTTAAATAAATAGGCAATAATAAATAGAATTAATAACGTGCTTGTAAAATATTGAGATTCTATCAAAAAAAAATCTGCTTGACACAGTAGAATCATCATTTCTGATTGCCACCAAGAATGTTACAAAATCCAAGTAAACCTAAGAAAAGGACAGTAACACTAAAATTAGGTTATGTTGGGATTGAAACTGCTTCAATATGAGCAATATGTGACACTGTTTCCTCCAAATTGATGTACAGTTTGAAAACATAACAGAAAAGGTTCTTACATTAAAAAAAAAAAAGCTTTAAAATTCTTTTATAGGTACAACACTTAAAAGAGTGGAAGGAGCCAGCAGTGACATGATCTATTTGGACACTAGATGCAGTCTTCTGAGGGACAGAAAATACAAACAGCAGAAATTTTATTCTAATAACCACATATGGACTAGTCCAGAGTATATGGAAAAACAATTGAAAAATAATAACTCTTTTTCTGCTAAATTATTTCAGGCTTTTATACTTATACAGGTCTGATCACTTACCAATGAATTATATGTACACAGTTGAATGCTGATTTTCTTACTTGGTTTACCTGGTTTATCTGGAGGCTAAAACAAGGGGTTTTTGCCTTTTTTAATTTGTGCAGGAAAATTAAAAAGTTAGGATTCTTTAGAAGGATAAAGCACCTTCTTCATTTTTTAAGCAGCCTCCTTAGGATGAGAACATACTATCTCTGCCCTTTCCCACTGCAAGGGAAACCAGGGAGATGTCTGAAAAGCAAAGGTAAGACAGGATGCAAACTTCTCCCAAGCCCTCATGGGGTCAGGATCCAGCTTTGGTAACCAGGGTCTGTTCCAATGGCAGTGAAGTTACTTTTGCAGTTTAATTATTTACTAAATGGGTGTATTGGAAAACATACAGATAGCCTACCTATGGCACTTCCCCTCACATACAGACTGTGAGATGTTTCTCACTCCTTTCTGCTCAGAACACCGATATTTCAAATAGTCACATTACAGCATTGGCACAGAAGCTGCCATTGCTGAGAAATAATGTATCTTTTCAGCCAACTGTTTATTGAAAGGTGCTAAGGTCTGATTTAATGAGGCACAAAATACATCATTCTCAGTTGTAGCTCAAAGTAAACTCAACACAGGCTTTCAGGAAACCATTCTCTGTTTTATTTTTTTTTTTGTGGTGGTTCTCTTTCAAGTGTAGGAGGGATGTTCACAGCGTGATGGGTAGACATTATCATTATGAGGAGCATGTCTGCTTTATTCTGCACACCATGCACAATAGAGCAATGACTTGTGCAGGTCCCAAAAAATGATATTTACTACTGCTGTGAAATAAAAATGCTCTCTTCCCTGTTGTGTGCACCAAGAAGCCCTGTAACCCTTTGAAGATCAGACTCCATACTTAGCAATTTATCTGCTGAGTTTAGATCTGCTGTGAAAGTCAGGGCCAGGCCTGGAATACAGTAGTATTCAGGGGAGGTAGGAGGGATAAAGGTTCAGGTCCTAGGGCAAAAGGCTAAGGACAATTGTCTTCAACACAGCCAAAAGTATCTTCCCTAAATTCCCCATACAATAAAGAACCAACACTGGAATTTCAGCTCTAAACGTTCTTGTAAATGAAAATGAAAACATGATCAGTCACAAAGCCAGTGGCTGTTTGAAGACTTCCCCCACAGGAGGGGTGGGCACAGAAAAGGTACTCAGACCAGGTGGTCTGTGTTTCTCCCACAGAGCTTTGTCCTGACACCTTGTCAATCTATCAGAAATTAATGATTTCTTGGAGACATTGCCAGTGCAGAATTGTATTCTTCAGCAGTTTAGTGGCTTTTTTTTTTTGTTGTTTTTTTTTGTTTGTTTGTTTGTTTTTAATATATCAGCAATGTTGTATGTTTGCAGCCTTTTCTTTCCCTCTACAGCAGATCTGAATCCCAGTTGAATTCACATCAGATCTCTCTCTGTCAGACATGTTTGCTAACTGATTAACAGTAGCTATTCATTAGTCTCAAAGACCCATAGAATAATTTGGTAGGAAGCCTTGGCTGAATAACTAAATAACTGAGAACAGCCTCTTGCTACTGTTGGACACATTTCATTTCTTCAGCTCCAACAGATTTGCAGAAAACTCCTTGACTTGTCTCACCAACATAATTGCTATGAAACAAAACCAAACCAACTTTTACACATTATAGTATACATTTTATCTGATGATATTTTCATCAACATGTAAGTAATTTTATAGTAAATGGGAAAATCACATTGTAGTAGTGGATTACACACGATACTACTGTGAATTACAGTGAATCCTGATCTTGCACCACTTTCTTTTATCAGTGGGAAGGTTCTGTTGCCATAGAAGCTCCCATTTGCTGAACAGTCTGTAGAAAATAAACGTACAGGTTGCTATCACTCATTCCACGTGTACCAGAAAAGTTTAAACCAAGCCCACCTGTGCCATTCAGCTGAGCACCGTCAGCTCTCCTCCAGCTGAGCTCAGGGATGGGCACCCCTGTTGTCCCACATCGTAGCAGCACGGTGCTGCCCAGGATGGTCTTCACTTTGGCTACAGACGTGTGTACAACGGGGCTTTGACACTTCCTTAGCTCCACTTGGCTGAAGAACACTCCTGCAAGGCTCCGGGGCGTGAAGCACTTCAGCCTGGGCTCAATGAACGCTATGTTAGGAGACTGGAAATTTAGGAAATGGACCATTTCATACAGACTGCAGTCACATACCCAAGGATTGTCTTGCAAGCCTGTCAAAAGAAATCAGAGCACCAAGTCACTCCAACAGCACCTGTTGTTTCTGCCACTTTCACCTCTGTTTTTCAGCGGGACAAACCGTGATAGGCTCCCAAACTGCTCTGTAAGAACTGTCTGTGCTTATGCAGGGGCAATGTTGGGGGTGGTGGGGGTGATGTCCCGACAGCCCCCTGATGCCGTTGGCTGAGCCTGATGGATCCCATGGTTGCCTGTTAGTAGAATGGAATAAACATGGCTTGCTAAAGTGTCTCAAAACCTGGATCTGGAATCATATTCTTTAAGTTCAGCACAGGATTATTCATATTATGAAAACATTGCAATTTATGCACCTAAAGAAGCAAAACAAGAGGTTATTATAGACACATTTGGTTTCAGGATGATAAAAACAACCATGGGAGAAGGGAGGGGAATTTTTTTGGTATGAGGTGACTGTGATGTCTCTTCCTTAGACAGACCAGGAAATTCTTCTCACTGAACACTATTAAAATATTAACCATTTTGTCATGCCAACTTTCACACCTGCAATAGGTGTAGGTGATCCTACTTGACTGTAATAGTTCTCTTCCAGCCCTGCTATTCTAAGTTACTTTCATTATTTTAGTAATCAGCTATTTTTTCTGAAATACTAATTTAACATGGGATAAAAGAACTGTTTTAAGGATTAAATTGAAGAATATTCCTGTTATGGTATATAAAAGAATATAAGTAGACAATTACTATATTAAGAATATACACTCCGAAAGGGGTCTATTGAAGAGCACACTCCTGTTTCAGAGTCCCAGAATGTTTCTCCTTTTTTTTTTTTTTCTGCTATCCCAGTTCATACCTATTGAACTCAAATTCTGAAAAAAATTCTATTAAAAATAGACCTGTGAAGATAGTACTGAAAAAGCAAATTTGGAACTAGAGCAATGCATATCCATGAACAGAAGTTGCTCTGCATTCTGATTAAATCTGTGTCATCCTACTTACAAATATTCCCATCCAGCTGTTCTGTGGACAGTTTGTGGTCTCTAATGGTTTTAGCTAGAAGAATTGGCACTAGAGACATTTATACCATCTAACCCAGGCACACATTTGAAGCCTAAGCCAGGAGTGTGGTTCCCAGGCCTCCTGCCTGCCACAGGAGTGGGTTCTGCTTCCTCTAAGGGGGCTCCACCTCCTCTTTTCCACAGGCAGCCTTGGGGCCAGCACCTGCCTCAAAGTAAAGAGTACTAACATTTCCTCGATTCCTGGTGGGAGGAAATGACAGCTGCCCACCCTACAGTGCCCACCCTCACTGGGCCCTGGAGCCCTGCAGCAGGAGTCGTGCAAGCACAGGCTTTCCAGCCAGAAAACCAAATTTTGACATATGCACAGATGGTGCACTACAAGGCTCCATGAGCATCAAGGGGCTTCTTGAATTTGTCACAGTAAACAGAAACACAGTGCTGATCAAAAGCCCCCAAGGTCTCAAATAAAGGGTTTTAAAGAGGCTGCTGGAAAATTTCTTCTGAGATCATTCCATATCATCTTTCCTGAGCTTGGAAGAGAATATGAAAAAAAATGGGTCTTGGCAGGAGGTCAATTCTTATAAACTAATGCATTAAAGTGAAGGAGACTAAATAAAGGAAGAAAGTGCAGGTTGGCTTTGTTGGTTTATGGCATTTTTGCTAGCATACTTCTTTGCAGCTTATTTCTGACCTCGTGCACTAGATAACCATTTATCCCAGATTACCTGGGAGGTGCACCAGCTCCAGCTGATGCTGCAGCACCCCCAAAGCCCCAAAGTGAGCTGTTTGCTCCCCTGCACAGCGCAGTTCCATGGGCTCACGTGGGCAATCCTCACGTGGAAAAGCTTGCACCCTTGGCACAGGGTATTAGCCAGCAACTTACCACAGGAGCTACATCTTGAAGTAGTCTACAAACAAGGGCTCTGAAGAGAAGTCACAGTGATGCACTGCAGACAAAGAATGGACTGGCCTGGCTCGGCTCTTTTTTATTCATGGCTTTTTATGCCTCCATGAGAGACAGTCATGAGCAGAGTGAAACAGAAACAAGCAGCTGTGTTTTCCCATTCTGCTCCTGTAAGGGACATGCATTTTATCTACCTGGTCCCTCTGAGTGTCAGCAGGATAAACCTACAAGCTGGAGTGGCTATACATTACTGTATTAATTTTAGCATTATAGGCATTTGCCTACATTAATTTTTTAGGATCCTGGCACACTCAACCTATGCACAGCTGGATACATAAACACTCAGGTTGGCCAGAGCATCGAGGCACAATCTGTTCTTCTCAATAAAACACTCTACTAATATATATTGAATGGAATAACATTTTTACATGTAATTTGATGCTAAAAAAAATAAAAAAAGAGAAGTATGATCTAGGCAGTGTCTTGCCACGAGTGAAATGGGCAATCCCAAACTGCCAGCTTTGGTTTAAAGAACTTGTTACTGCATCTGGCAAAACAGGATAATGAAACACCTGCTTCTCTCCTGATGCTAATGAAACCTTAAACAACATCTGCTAAGGACACAAAAGCTTTGTAGGTGGCATTTTGTATCTTTTTTAAGTCTTGTATCTCTTTTAACTGCAATCCTTTTTAAAAAAAACTTTAGCCCCCTAAATTTATCAAGGGAACAAAGAGTAGCAGGTACTTGCAAGAGCAAGAGGAAACTTGAAATGTCTCTGCTGAGATTACCAGGAAGTGCCTGAACTCACATCCGTGGCTGCAGAGGCAGTACACACAGATGCACACACCCCACAGACCAAACACAGTCAATGGAGCTGGATCAGCTCAAGGCAAGGGAAAACAGCAGATGGCAACAACTCTGAAACATCATCAACCTACTGTGGATTTGAATCAGCACTCAAATATTAAAACACTAAGTAGTAATACTCTGAACTAATAAACATGCTGAAAACCTCTCCTGGGGATACTGAAACGGAGAGTCAGCTGACACAAAAATGGACAATTGCCCCAAAGCCATAGCTCTGAGGAGCCCAGCACTGACACCACAAAGGGGGATTCTTGTAGCTTTACAACTGCCCTTCTAGGCAGCACTGCCTTGGTGGGTTTAGGTAGACTAGGGTTTAATTGTGTGAACACACAAACAAATCTCTGTTAAGAGACAATCTGGCAGTCCTGACCCAGATTTTATGCTCAGTCACAGTGCTATTCCTCTTAAATTTGGACACAATAAATATCCACCTTTTTATTTTATGCTGTTTAAAAATGAGTAGATTCCGTACTAAGTGTTATTAAAAAAGACCATATGAATGATGAGGAGCTCTAATCATATTTGTATTTTGGTCCAAAATGGCAGTGTCAATAAATAAAAAAGCCTTGAGCAAGAGTCACCAGGTTTCTGCTACAAAGATTCAAGCAAGTAATGAAATTTATGGTGTAATAAGCTGGGTTTGATGAGCCTGAGGTGAATTTGTTAATATTTAAATGCATTTACACACTTTATATGGGGTATTAAATTGTATATATATAATGGCAATGTACTTGCTATGGTAACCACAGGGGGTGAAAATGCTGCAATAAGACGAGAAACTCTTCCCATTTGTGTCGCCTGCAAAGTGTCAGGCACTTCTCTTACCTAGGATGATCTTGGAGTTATCATTGGGGAAGTAAGGAACAGCCTGGAGGTTTGCCCAGGTGGCAATAAGAGCCTGAGGAAGGGTCATCAGCTTATTGCTAGACAGATCCAGGTATGTGATATTCTTGACATAACGAGCAGCATCTGGAGGGACTGAGGTAAGTTCGTTGTTGTGTAGATCCAGAAGCCTTAGCTGTGGCATGCCAGCCAGGGCTTCCCAGGGGAAAGCTATTAAATTGTTCCCATCCAGCCTCAGCTCCTGCAGACGACGAAGGCCCTTGAAGGTGATTCCGCTGAGGCTGGCCAGGGAGTTATAGGGCATCCAGAGGTACTCCAGGTAGTGAAGTAGGTGGAAAGCCTCTCCTGGCACCCTGCGGATGGCTGTCTTTTCTATCCGAAGCTTGATTGTGTCTACGGGGATGTTCACAGGGGGGAGGGTCATCTCTGGGTCATTACACAGCACTGTCCTGGTGGGGAAAAGCAAAGGTGTGACTTTCTTTTATTTTGAAAAGGTTTTGAAACTTTATTTCAATGTAAGATTTTGATCTGCTTTTGTTTTTTCACAAGATTTCTTCTTGTCATTTCTTACTTGCTGCTGATCTCTGCATCATCACCGTAAGGACATCAACATTCATATGTACCTTCTGACTGCAGAGACAGCAGTGTTGTGCTGCTCCTGGGGTGATGTGAGTCTGAATCTGGCCCATATAGTGCTCCTGCTGTTTTTCAGGTTTGTTTGGAGTACTTATGAGAGACAGTAGTGACAACATTCATGCGCAACAGAGGATTCTGGTGCAAGTTAAAACAAAATGATCCAAACACTGAACAATAAAAGCCATACAAAAACAAGCCTTACTGACATGTCAGAGGGCAAGAAAGTTTAGAGATTAAATAGGACACAGGACCTCTGGTTTGAGAAATGAGGATAAGAAAGTCAGCTAACAGCTCACTGGAAATGCACTAGAGCAAGCTCTGCTTTACTGTGAAGTAGTCTGGAAGGTGTGTAGAGGTGATAGTCACTGCACCACAGGCATGTATAGTTATGAGAGTGAAAGCACAGAAAATTAACTCTTTGGAAAATTCTACACTAAAAGCAAGGCAGATTTATGTGTTTTAATCGTTCTCCCCATTCCTAGTCTCTAGCGGTCAAAGCATAAAAAGTCTGCTGTATTTTTGCAGCCTTCATACAAAAAAATTGTGACTTGGGACTGTAGATAGCCAAGAGAAATGAAGGGAGGCAAAACTGGTCTCTCAGACTGCATTTTAGTTTGCCTATCAGCAGGTAGAGAAAGACAAGTTCTTAACAAAATGCAAAGCCTGCTACAAAAGATAACAGGTTAAATAGGTGTGTTCCACTCCACATGCTAAACAAGATACTGCAAGAAATGTAATGTGATCAGTGAAGTAACATTTTCTTATCACACTACCTCTATAAACAGAATATTGCAAAACTGCCAAAACCACATTGGTTTTGGCTGAAAGCAATTATTCCTCTAGTATCAACAAAAACATATAATAACGTGGAACTGCCCATGCAAACCTCCCAGAGTTAAATGCTATTTGAGCCTACAGTTAAATTGTTAATTTATAATCAAAACAGAGTACATTACTCTCATCCAACACTTTTATTGTGGCATTAAATCCTGCCCACCCTCAGCTGAAAATTGAGATTTTGAGGAAGAGAAAAATCTATCAAATAAGAAAAATCTAGAAATCCTCTTTCAATAAAGCATTTATTTGTGTGTAGCCATGACACAAAATGTTTGCTAACAGAAACACCAGGGCAGTAAAGCAGCATGCTTCTCATAGTGTCCTTAAACTATGTCAGTGATCACTAAATATTTAATCTATGAGATAATCTCCTTCTGCTAGTGAGAAATATGAATCATAATGCAGAAAAAAAAAAAGGTGACATTATGCTCCTTAAGGGAATAATGGGTATTTGCATTATTATGTCTCTTACTAAAATGCTCAACAGCTTTTTCCAGTCACTGCAAGGAAATTCCCCTGGGAACTTTGACATTTATGAAGCAATAATTGGTTCTCACGCGACTGCACTCCCTTTTAACAATTGCAGACTACTTGTGTCTCTACCATCCTTCTTATTGGCAAATTTTCTGGTATTAAATCTATAGCACCATAAAAGAGATAAGAAAGTAGATCTATTTCATAGGGATCCAAAATATTTAATTTCAGTACTGTGCTCTTGTCTAGAAAAAATTTATTCCAAAGGATTTTGCAAATAATGTATCTCTACCTCCTCTACTGTGACCCGCACCTTACAAAAATGTAGCCTCTATTTCATTAAGTCAGACAATTACTTTGGGATTACACTTCAGAAGGGTTATAGAAAACAGTCCTCCAAAGAAATGTGCATAGTATGGCATTGCATTAAAAAATGGAGGTCCTTCTGGTCTTGTCTTTTTCTCAACAAAGCTTCCAGTCTGAGAATTCTTTTTTTTTTTTTTTTAATGCCTTTTGTCTATTTTTTGGTTCATTCTCATCTACAGTCTATTGCTTTGCCTAAAATCTGCAGCTGAAGGATTTTTTAACCAAATCGAATTGCCGTTTTTGTTACCACAACATAAATCAAATCTAGTCACACTTTAGCAACAAACCAGCAGAGCAGAATAAAATTTCTTAAAACTAGAATTTTCATCACAAAGGTAAAAAAAATAAAATGCTGTTTAAATTTTATTCTCTTTTAGCCCTTGCACCAGCAGTAATTATGTCACTTCTCACACAGATGCCGAAACGCTTTCTCTGAAATCAGCTTACTGTGTTTTCAGAAGCTAATCCTCTGCAAATATAGCTAGAGCGCACAGCGACTGGAAAAAATAATGGACACAAAGTCTGGACACAATATTTTCTCCTCCAAGCATCCCTACAAAGGAGAGAACAAAATCCCCGGCACCCCGAGAAAGCGCGGCAGCCCCCGAGGAGAGTCCCGGCATACCTGGCTTTGGTCCCTTCACTGAGGCTGTGGAAGGCGCAGCTGCACTGGGATGGGCACGAGCCTCTCGCCCCTGGCAGCCCCCCGAGTGTGAGGCAACACAGCAAACTCACCACGATCCTCATGGCTACCTGAGCATGGAAGGACACCTGGGCTCTACGCAACGTGGAGGGCTTCGCCTATTGTTTTATCCATTGACTGGTCACATCTTGTTAACTCCCTTTTGTTTTCAGCCACACTGTGATCTTCCAGCCCTCGCTGAGTCCATCAGATAAAAAAGGATAGGCAGGGATTAAGGATGGGGACTTGAGTTATTTTCATGAAGGTGCTTATTGCTTCCTGGAACAGTACTAACAGCATTTCTTCCTTCAGGGAGCCCCTTCAAAACATTCTCCTTAGGAAATTTGTGGCTCTTGTGGAAGGAAAAACAAACATACTTTCCGGGGACCTGCATCACAGGCAAGGTAACTGTTATCTGACCAGGAATTAGCAGTCATGTACTTCCTCATGGGGATATTGGGAAGATTTAAGACAGTTGTTTGTGCTAATGGAATGTAAGCCTTCTATACAGGAATGTTAATATATATATATATAGTGATGCTATTAAAAGGCTTCATTTTCTTTTAAAAACTCCTACTTTGATCAAGCAATTACTGAACTGTCGGCAACATACTTGATATCAATAAACAGTTAATAACCTCATAAATATGCACGTATTTCAGTTTGTATCAGGACTAGCACATGCCTGGAGGACTGACCAATGTGCTCTGACTTGCTGACAGAGAAAAGCTCAGATAAGGGACCAATTTTTGCTACTTGATAAGGGAGCAGAATTCTATTCATACTAACAAAAGACATCTCATGTTTATAAAGACTATTATTTTCCAATGAAAGTGAAAGTATATAAATTACTTACACCACAAATGCACAGCACTCTTACAAAACTAAAATTCTCAAATGCTTTGGAGAAACTGATAATTACTTTCAGTCTGATCAGATTGCCACTTTCCAGACATACTGCATTATAGCTTCGGCAGGAAAATCAACCCCTGTGCCAGACGCAAAACAGAAAACACAAGTTAAAAGTTTACAGAAATGAGGAGGGACTGAATGGCTGAAAGAAGAGCTAGTAATAAAGCACCAACCGGACACAACTCCAGCAGAGATGCTTTAGGGAAATATTTCTCTTCCAGTTCTGGAGCTCAGAAAAGCTTCAATGACAGCAGTGTTACAGGGGAGAGTCTCAGACATCCCACTCCAGCATAAAACAGGAGCAATTCTACTGAAATCCTGGACCTGGCCATCTGCTTCCCCCATAGAAATAGGAGTGTGGGATAAAACATGGCTGATTGAGGCAGAAGCCATCCAGCATTCTGTTGGCCTTTCAGCACCAGTCACCAGCTTTCCTTTCCCTTACCTAAGGTCAAAGAAGAAGGGGAAATGAATTACAACAACAAAGGTTTCTCTAAACATTAGGTTTTCTTGGATCTTAATTATAGTCATATTGATCAGAAAAAGAGTGCCCATCCCACTCTCTTCTATCAGTGTCTGAAGTTGCTGCGGCTCTTCTGTCCACCTCTTGTAGATATCCATCTCAATTCAGATTTCCCTAGGAGAGAACTACAGTTCTGTACCATTTTAATAGCCTGGTTGTATCTACAGCTGCCCTTGTGCAGAGATTCATGTAAAATTCACATCATATGAACTGCCATAAAACCAAGGAAGAAATATGAACAATCTAGTACAAAAGGCATTTTGGAGGTTAGAAGAAAAGATGGGGGAAAAAAGTAATAAAGAAATAAATAAGAGACAGACACAATTGGAAGAGCTGTTATGGATGTTACTCCTTAAAACTCAAATTTCTTCCATGCTTGTGCAGCCTTGTCAGATCTCTGAAAAAAGAACAGCAAGATGGTGCATAGGATGTTCCAAAATAAGCGTAATATGGGCAACTTGAGTTGCCAGTTGCTGAAGCTGGTCTCTTTTCATGTTGCCAACACAGGCAATTAAGTGAGCTCAGTTCTCCAAAAGTTCTGCAAAACTAAGTGCAGAAGGCTACATGGTGTAAGTACTCTCACATCTCCACTGCTTCCCCACTGCCTCCTGTTCTCCTGTCCAGGCTGAGGATCCACCCTTGCCAGGAGGATACTTATAGGATCTACTGGCTGAGGTAGCTCCAGCTCTAGAGTTCACCCTTCTTCACCTCTCTTTTCCAGCATTCCTTCTCGTTGCCAGTCTGTGGATTTTGCTTCTCCTTTCAAATACGTAATCAGAAGTTAGCAGTCAGAAGTGCAGCAGTAACATACAAACCGACTGAAGTTTAATGAGCATGCTAACAAAGGTTGCTCACCAGGATTTCTGGAGCATTGCTGTTCTCATGCAGAATTCATCCTGTGTTCTTCAGCAGAATGAAATTACACTGGCTATTTTTCAATAATTCTGAGTAATGAACTCCCAGACTTTCAAGGTAATCTAGATGTGGTTTGGGGCTAACAATTAAACAGCCATTTTATGGCGCCATAGTTTCACATAAGCTTGTTTCACAAGTTACTCCAATAATTAATTAAGGCTTGTAGCAATCATTTATAGAGGGGATGGCCCAAAGGATTACTTTCCCCCTGGTACTTCCACATTCTACTTTTACTGTTGTTCAAAGAGAAATTCAAGTGTCTCATTATTTATTTCTGATGAGATGAGAAGATGATGCAGTGCTGCTCATTAAATATCCATGGTCATTCTCTCATTGACTTCCATTAGGTCTCATTTCTACATTTAATGATTTTTCAGTTCCCTTAATAATCTCCAAACTGAGACCAAGCTTATCGGGTTCTTAGTGTACTCATTGGTCAACTTGCCTTGCTGCCTAGACTCTGCCTCGGCTCAATACTCTCAACATTGACTGAAACATCTGAAGTTAAATTCTAATTGAAAAAGCAATTCAACACAATTAACCTCTTGCCTCTATTTCTTTTTTTCAATGCATCTGATAAAGTGGTTTCCCTCCATTGGATCTCTGGAATAGAAAACTTGTAGAAAGTAGTCAGTAACTGTATGGTAAGGTTTGCTTTCATGAACCTCAATTTTGCCTCACTAATGAAACATTTAAGCTACAACTAAATGCCAGGAGCAGTAGAAGTAATCTTAATTTTTAAATCAACAGCAATCAATAAAGCATGCCTTAGCAGCAGCTAATACCCTGCACTTTGTCAAGAAAGCTGCTATTTAGTTAACATGACAGACTCACTTCTGAATGAGAAAGACCTGGAGGTAGGCTGAGAGATTAAGAAAAGAGGTAACTTTAACAGGTTTCTCACCTTGGAGTGCATTAATAAGCATGTCTCTGAAAGGAGAAAAAGAGAGGGGAAAGGACCAGTCAACTAATTACCCAGTTTTGTTTTATCAGCACTTACATCTTTGAGTTTTTCCTGCCTGCTGACTATATTATCTTATAATCCCTCATTGATACATCACCACCAAATGTTACAAATGATGGGTTAGGCAGGAAGCCACAGATACAGCCCTGTTAGGCCTGATCTGAATAGTCAAGAGAGTCAGACTGCCCTCAACCTGAGGAAACTCAATAAGAGCTTCATCAGTAGGCGAGGGAAGCAGCTCAGGTAGACGAAAGATGGAAAACCGGAAGCAAAATCTGGCTACTGTGTTCAACAGACCATGAATTCACTTTCACACACAATTCTGGTTTGTCCTGAAGCACTGTTTGCAGTGCAATAGCTTTCTAGATTTTCATGGTATTTTTAAGGCTTAGATGTATTACCTCTTCCCAACTATTGAACTGTTATTCACACATTATGCTACTTAATGTTAAATGAACACTCATTAGATAATTTCCCTGTAAGTGCAGGTGATATTTATTTGAGACTGTAAAATCAATATCAACTTTTGCAGTGCAGAGTAAAAACTATTTTTTTCATGGCAGACAATTCCATTCCATAATGAAACTAGTGGGAGTCAGGCTCTCCACTTACAATTCTGCACTCCAAATCATACAAATTGTGCTCCTTGCTGCTTACTTAGGAAGGCAAGTAAACAGTTTCTTCTCTGCACCAAACTAAAAATATCAGCTGGAGAAAAAAACATACAAAGAAGCAGTCAGCAAGTGTCATTCACCTGAAGTGCAAGAATTTTGTTATGCATTCTCCTAGAATAAGCAGTCCTCTATTTATATTTTGGTGTAAGTAAATACAAAGCAAATGGGGTCAAAGTCTACTGTCAGCAAAGTTCAGCACATGGCAATCTTTCTTATCTTTCCTAGGTGGGGTATAATTCAGAGAAAAAAATTGCTTTGTGTTTTATAAGATGAAGTTAATTATCTGGCATAGTTTTCATTTTTTCCTATACAGATTTTTGAAGCCAGAAATGTTTTATCAGAAGATTCTACTCACAAGCTCAAAAGCAAAGCCTGAGTGACAAACTCAATATGCTCACCTAAGTCACTAATTTTTAATATAGCAATTGGACAGAATTTATTTCTACTTCTTTCCCCCATATGCTTAGAAAAATATGGCATAAAGCAAATCAAACAGCATATTTTAGCATAAATGAAAGCTATAAAATACCTTATTATCATGATTTTGTCTGAAAGGTTTTATTAGCAGGCAACACGGGCCAGACACTAAATCAGTTTGATTAGGTAAATGCATCTCCAAGAAGCTTCTTGTACAGTGGAAAATCCTTCCCACTGATGCAAGTCGAGAGCACGCTGATGCATTACGTCATTCTAAATTGGATCTTGCACTTAATGCTGATGAAGACAGCTCCCCAGACCTATAGGGCCAAAGCCATTAATAGAACTCTAGACATGCTGAAAAAATATAATAAACTCAAAGAGGTTTTGGCATGGAACATTAAAAGTCTATCACTGGTATTTCTTTTGTGCACACATTTACCTTAGCATACATTTACAGAACCATAGTTCTTCTACACTTCTTCTCCAAAGGCCCCACAGCAACAGACAAATTCCACTGGGATTGGACATACAGGACCCCAGAGCAAAATTCTCTGGGACAGGCTCTTAGTACTCCTTTGCAAGAGGGAAAGCAAAAGACAAACTCCCTCTCTTAAAAGCCCTCTGCAAACCCATCTTTGAGGCTTAGTCTTGAGCACC